CCCCGGGCTGCTGCCTGCTGCAGACCAGGTAGCCGCTGTCGAGGCCGCTGCTGCATCCGCGGAGAGGGGCACATGTCCTCCGCTCACTGCCCCCTCCCCGTGGAAAGGAGGCGGGGCTGCCGGAAGCGACGTCGTGTCGGTGGGCGGGGCCGCCGGACGGGTTCCCGCCGATTCTCCCGAAGCTCCTCCTTTCTCTTCCGGTTCCAGGCAGCTCGCTCCTTCCTCGGCACCATCTTGGAGTGGCGTCGACTCGGGGCTTCTCCCCCCCGCCACTTCTCGTGCTGCCGGAACGGCCGCGAGCAGTCGGGCTTCTAGGTCTGCATTCCTCCGCAGCAAAGTTGTCACAATGCAGAGCAACACATCCAATACTCTCTCTCTTTTATCCCTCGGGGCTACACTCATATGGCCTCTCAACCCGAGCACCATCGGGAGGCTAAACCGGTCAGCTGTCATCGGCTCTTCACCCTCCCGTGCGAGCTGCACGCAGCGAGCAAACTCCTGGCTGAGAGCCGGGTTCACGTCGCCCGATTCCCATCTGGCAAGGGGTGCGGTGTTCCCTCTCTCCTGGGGCCTGAAGTGGACTCTCTCGCTGCCCATCACACACCCGAACGCCTCGGGGTGCAAATGTGCCTCCCATACTTCCGATATCCCTTCTCCTTTTTCCTTCAGTGAAAGGTAGCCATCGATAAACCTTTCACCCACTCCGCCCGCCTGGTGATACGTGATGTGGGCGCCTAGTTCCTCGGAGCTGGCCACGTGGTGTCTCCCGCTATGCCAGGGGCAACTTCTCACTATTCTGCTCCATTAGATCTTCCCCGTATCCTGACTCCGATCCTGTCAATCCTAATCCCAATCCCGCTGATCCTGTTCGTGATGCCATGTGGGGGCCGAGGGGGAATCGAGGATCAGGAGTCCTCGGGAACGCTAGCTGGGGTTGCGGTTGCGATCCCATGACGGGAAGATGGGTACTCTCTATCACCGGCGGAATTAGGCACAGACGAGACACGTATCAATTGGAAAACAGAGATGGCTTTACTTACACTGTAGAGTCGTATACAGCGCAGGCAATCGTAGTTGCAACAATTCTATTCTCTAATCAGTAATCGAGGAGCTCTTGTAGACCGGGTAGCTCGAGTCTAACTCGGGCATGCAACACGGAGGATACGTCACAAGGCTTCGCCGACGGGGAGTTGTTGGCAGGTGATCAAGTCCAGGGGGAATCGCGGAGTTCTCCAACTAGGGCGGAAACGCCCCTAACCTTTTATATGGCTAGCGAGCCAATTGCCAGCTGCCACGTGGGAATAATTTAACTTCAGCCAATCATATTATGCAAATCTGCATTTCCTCGGCAGGAACTCTATCCACGCCGGAACTCTTCACCATGCCGAGACTTCCCCTGCTTTACCGTGCCTTGTGCTAGAAAGTTCCACTGTGTCGAGGCACTAATTCAAATCAGCTCTGACAAAAAGATTTTGAGGTCTTTTTGATTTTGAGCAATATATTTATATTGAGATACACTGTAATTATTGAATTTAAAAGTACAACTTAAAGAACTCTTGCCGGTGTAGATTGCACTTGCCTAAATAATTGACACCTTGAAAATAACGGTTTCTCCTGTTTATACGGATTTAATACAGTTAATTTTAGTGACATTTTATAGTACAAAATATCTTCTACTTTACTAATAGAAAGTTAATAACTAAAACCAAGCCATGCTTGTGAAATAAATGCATTGATTACATTTTGTGATGGAATATTCACTATGGCTAAAGTTCATATGAACAAAGTTCAGAAGTGCTATCAGTTGGAAGCAGGACCCATTTATTCATTTTTCATTGTTAATGTTGGTTATAGAGTAAGGCAGAAATCCTGGAACGATATTTGTGTCTGTATGTATATGCATAGTGAGTAGTTCTATTGCTTTAATGGGACTACATACAGAGTAATTCTTTGTGGCATTTGATTATATATTTATATTTAAAAGAGTTGCTCACTAGAGGCTCTACAGTTAAGGTTGCAATATTAATGTACTGTTCTCCTCTGCAGGAACGTATGTCTCAGATCATATTTCCCAGTCAAAGAATATCAGTTTGAAGATTGAGTTTTGTTAAATGTCTTTAAATGTTTCTATGTATTGTTGAAGGCAGGGAATCTTTAAAGACTAACTTGTTAGTCGGTGACAACCTATATGATGCTATGAAGGTCATTGTCAAATCATTTTGGCTTCATATGACATGAAAGGCATATGAGCACACGCCTATTCAGCCTTTGCTAATAATACTGAATTTAGAAAGCAGCCAAGGAATCATGTTTAAAGTGGATGAAGAACTTTTTAGTAGAATTTGTATTTTAGCTTTATGGAACTTGGTCTCAAAATGACTGAATTTAGTTGGATGGTTGTAGAGCAGGGGTTTCAAATTCTCTCTGGGCCCCAAGCTGGATCTGGACTGGTGCTCCTCTTGGGTTTGATCTGCAGGGCCAGCCGACATTGCGGGGGTCCAGGGACAATAGCAGGAATCTGGGACACTACCTGGGGTCTAGCAGGTACAGTACAAGTGAAGGCTGTATCTACATAGCCCCCACTTGCCCCTCTGCTGTCAACAGCCATGTCCATCGGGACCAGGACCCAAATTCCATGGCAGACCTTGCCCCTGGTTCTACCTTCAACTTCCAGTAGCCCGTTGGCCCACTGTATGTATCTTTGGCATCCCTGTTTTAAAGGATTAAACGTGAATATTACAGGCAAAATCCTGATAGATATATATATATATATAGGGTCAACTAACAGCTGCCTGAGATTTAAGAAGTAGTTTTCTCTATAGACAGTTTATTTCACTGTTGGTCATTTTAAGTTTTCTTGCATCTCCTTCACAAGCATCTGGTACTGGCTGTTGTCTGAAGCAGGATAACTGCACTTGAGGAAACCACGCTTTGAACACATTTGGCAATTCCTGTGTTCTTATATCCTACAGTGTTTTCTCTGCACCTTTTCACAACCAGATCTGAATGGCCCTGTAGACAGCTGTGCCCAACTCAGTTCTGTCACTAGGGCCAGACAGCTTGACCTCCACTTGCTCTTACTGATAGTGCACACCTTCCAACTCACCTGCCATGTCTTGATCTTTTTAGGAGAAAGGGAGGATCCTTGGTTATTTATATTTGCTCTCACAAACATCTCAAGTTACTAATCCTCAGGGCTCCTCTTCCCCTTACATCCCATCCATGTACCAACCGGATCTTACAGGATTGCCAAGCCACTGGTCATCTGGTAGAAGGATAACACTGCTATTGGGTCACTCAATTAGCTGTGCTCATTTACGGCTTACAGTCTTGACTGGTTGAAAAGGCTCTTCCAGCTTTGTCTTAAATCACCTACCTGGAGGCACCTGGGTTTGGGCCACTCTTGAGTGACAGCACTCCTCATTGAGTGTAGCACAGCTACCACCTCCTATTGGTCTATGCTGTGGAATCCACTGGCTAGGCCGTCTGTAGCTGAGCTCTGCACAGAGTGCCTGGGGGTCTTTCCTCTCTCAGCACAGCCTAACAATATTGACCACTTTGCTGGCTCCAAAGCCCACCAGTAGATCATGTCCCTTTTTTACCTAAGTCCTCTAGGGGATTACTAACCCAGGCTTAATGCTTCAGCCCCTCCCTTCCCCCCACTAGCACAGTTTTTAGCTTTCACTATCCACGACTGGTGGGGCTAGTCCGGAGTGCCTTTAACTCAAACACAGAAAGGACTGTTGAGCTCAAAACAATAACATGTCCCTAATCCTTTCCTGCAACAAACTCACAGCCGCTTCTTGTGGTCCTCCTGGGGAAAGCAGCGTCTCTCTGGTGCCTCTCCCATGGTGTTACTCATTGCTTTCTGCGGGGCTTGGGTCCCTAGGGCTAGAGGCTCCTCTGAGCCTTTAGTCTGGTGAGCAAACTCCTATTCTGCTTGCTTTGTGCCTGCTGAGGAAAGCTGTAGCTAGGCTCCACAATCTGTCGGTTGTGGTCCTGGGTCTCTCTCTCTTCTCTGCTGGTGTGGGGTGCACACTTGCAGGCAGGCTTTACTTCCTGGCACACTGGCTAATCTGCATCCGACACAAATTGGTAAACCAGGTTGGATGTGGTACCTGGGGTCTGTGCTGCTGCTGGCCCTGCAGGTACACCTCGGACCCTGGGTGGCTAAATGGTGTCCACACCTTGCCTCTGATCTCTGGCAGGGGTGCCTCTTGGGGTCTCTCCACTTTGATGTCATTTGAGGTATTCTCCCCTGTGACAGTCCCACTTGAACATTGCTGGTCTTGGTTTATCTAGGTTGACTTCTGAGGCTCAAACCAGTAGTGTCTGGAATCCTCCAAAATATGAGGATTGAATTTGTTCATATTAAATATATCTTACTTGGGTAGCAATTTAAAAAAAAATACACTTGTCTAAATAAATTGCATTTGGGAATCTTCCTATGGGGGTGTGGCTGAGATGATTTGGTTAAACGATTAAAATGAACTGAGGGTTTGTTGGCAATGGCAAAAGCTACAGAAAACATTACCATTACTATGAAAGTTCTGATGTCTATCTGAACAGCTGTCCCTTCTAAATGTTAATTGATAGGGGAAGCATTCTGAAACCTTTAATCAAAAACTCAATTATGTTCAAATTTAATGGAAAATGTTAGGTGATTATCAGTAAAGTCTAATTTAATGTTACTCTACTACTGTGTGTTTTTATGGTGGATTAAGGCGATAAGATTTCCCATTTTTATCATGGGAGAATTAAACTATGTGCTGTTTCAATAGTTTGTCAGGACATTATTAACATGTTAATCAAAATGTCTACCTCCAAAGTATCTTCTTTTAGCTACCTTCCTCTTACAAATATAAAACTCAGAAAGGGACTATGATTTTCTACAATATTAAACTTTTCAAACTGTGATGGCAGAAGATATTACAGCCACATAGAAGTGAAGATAGATTTCTTAAAATGCAAAATGCTTATTCGAAGATGAGCCTGATAGTCATTAATTACTAATTCAATATGCCATACTTCTGTACTATACCCTTGGTGGACAATAATACTGGTGTAATGAAATTCTTGTTAAGCCAATGAGTGTTTACTATAATAGATCTATAATCACCTGATCATAATCAGTAGATCATCACTTGAGGCTGAACTTTATATTGCTATATCAATTAATAGAACTGCTATGTTTCTTGAGTGCAAATTAGAGCTTGTTGAAAAATGAACTTAGCAAAAAGTAAAAATAAAAAAGATTTTACAGAATGGCGTTTGTAGAAAAGCACTATTTTGCGAGAACTGAAATATGATAAATGTGATAGATATGATAAATAGTTATAGTTTAGCCTGGATTTTAGGATGAAACTTTCTTAATATGGGGGGTAGCTAAACATTGAAACAAGTTACCCAAAGAGGTTATGGACTCTTCATCCTTGCACATTTTTAAAAGCAGGTAAGACAAACATTCGACTAGGATGGTTTAGTCTGGGATGATTCTACCTAGAGCAGGGAGTTCAACTATATGACCTCCTGAGGTTCCCTCCTGCCCTACTTTTCTACGATTCTGTTAAATGAAATTTTCAATTTGATAGCCATCTCTCTCAAAGTAAAATGACAAGATCATTGCCAATGGGCAGATGGGGAAACTCAGTCTATTTTTTTCTGGCATATTTTCTTCCTAGGCTGGTAGCATTTTCTCCATAGTTACTATAAAAGGCTTGATTTTATAAAATATACAAACAAAAGTATGCCTGAACAGATTCACAGAATAGGAAATATACCAGCCACATTCTAATCATGAATAGCACACAGTAGCTTGATTATGTAAGTGACTTTATAGAATGTAGACACATTTTTAAAAGCTTTTTCTTTGAGTGATTGTTCCAATGCACCTTCCAGTGTATGTGCATATGTGCTGGCTTTACATAGATGTTATATCGAAAATGAGTTATATTCCTGAGAAGTGATTTTGGGTGGTTTGTGTTGTTTTGTGAAGAATATAGCTGGCCTGAGAAACTGAGAACAGAGCTGACCAGCCTGCTTACACTGACCTTAAAGTTCCACAGAGCATTTAAAAATGGTAAAAATAAAGTAGCAAATAATATTATACAAAGTAAATTATAAAAGTATAGTAGTAATAAAATATAAAATATAAAACATACTATATTGTATTTTGTTAGGCAGCATTAATTTAATTAATCACTTTAAATAAATTGTATGAATTATTTACCAGCTCACAAACATTGTTCATTTTAGAACAAATGTACATATAAGGTCAGATGCTTACCATACGTTGTGACATTTCCCCAACAAAATCTTTGGTCACACTTTGAGATGATGGTGAAAATGTATATAATATTTTCTTCCAGAAGTCATCATAAAACATTTTTCTACCCAGTGGCTGTTTTCTTTCTACCTTTTTTTTTTTCCTTGCAGAGAGACCTCGTATTACCTCAGAGCCTCGAGATGCAGATGTGACCCCAGGGAATACAGTTTACTTTACTTGCAAAGCAGAAGGAAATCCTAAACCCAAGATAATTTGGATACATAACAAGTAAATACTAAATAATATTTGCATGTGTGTATGAGTTTAACTTCAAGTTCTGATTATTATTAATCCCTTGGCTATTATATTGGTACTGTCTGCACGTGTCTGTAAACAAAACATTTTCTAATCTAATTTAATCAGCAGGAGGCTGACTTTGAAAACACAACCCAGTTCTTTTAACACAGAGAAAGCAACCCAATTCTTTATCAGGGAAATGCATGGAGAAGAAAAGGGGAAGCATATTTTATTTGTTCCCCTTAATAGGCTTAGTTGGTTTCCAAAGTAAAAGGAAACTTCAAGATTTATTAAAAAGGACCCTCCCCTTGCATTTCCCATCAGAAATCCACTTTCCCTTGAATAAGGGACAGTGTGCACAAATAACAAACACATTTTAATAAAGTATTTTCCTTTTATAATTTCTCAGGCCTATTCTCTTTTTACTTTTTTCTTTTGAGTAGAAATTTATGTTCAATAATAGATTATTTTTTAAATAACTGAGATGCAGTATTAAAGATATACTGACCAATACAGTATTCAGTATTGACAACTTAAGAGACTAGTTCCATTCCAGCCTGCATTCAGAAATCAACAGGATTTCAATAAATGTATAAAACTTAAGTACATACCTGCACTTGAACAGATACTCAAACACTTTTCCTGAACAAGGCCTCAATGTTCACTTGACCAGAAGATAAGAGACCTGAAAAATTATACAAGGAAAAATATTTCATTCAAAAGCCAAAGGTTACTAAACAACAAACACATTCTTGTCTGTAACAAAATTTACGAGCTAAAAAGGAGAAAGGATAAATAGTTAACCAAAAATTACTCACATTACATATATTGTTCTTATTTAAGAAAACGAGCTCATGTTTCACCATAACTTTATTTCAGTTGAAACATGAATGCTTTTTTTCACCAGTTGACCTCTAAATACAATTATGTGTAGCAGGTTTGCCTTTTGGAGCTTGGGTTCAGTCCCAGGCTTGAAATCTTGCTGTTTTGATTGGTGGAGCTCATCCCCCAATCAGGAGGCAGCAAGAGGAGTTCAGCCACACCCCTTTCCTGAGGGGAGGGGGAGACTAGTCCCCTCCCCCTCCCCCCCCCTCTGTGGACTTGATTGAAGACTGCAACACCCGGGTCTGGAAGACTTCAGGGTGGAGCCCTGGAGCATGTAAAAGGAGCTGCGTGCCCAGCGTGAGGAAACACATCTGGGAGAGAGAAGAGAGAAGAGCGGGGCACTGAAGAGCTGAGGAGAGCTGCGAAGCAGGGTGAAGCAGTAGCCCAGAAGTGCCCCTGAAGACTTCCATCAGTGGGGAATGGCAGACAGCTCCAGCAGCTAGGCTCTCGGTGTGCAGCACGACACACAGCGTCCAGACTTTGGGAGCTGCGTGAGGTGGCTCAGGTCTGCAACCTCTGGTGTGTGGCCAGAGACACAGCACACAGGAGGGTGCATGGAGTAGGACCTTTGCAGTGCTTGGGTGGCTCAGGTCCTCAACCCCCCCAGAACGAGGCTGGGAGCTCGGTGCAGGAGGCGCTGCATGGAGGGTCCAGGAGCGGACTGAGGCTGGTGCCGCACAAGGCAGCCCAGGCTTCTGACCCATAGCAAAAGGTTGAGTCCATGGAGCCAGATGGTGATCGGGCTACTGAGCCAGCAGACAGGGCTAAGCCAAAGGCCTCAGAAGCCCTGCATAGCGGAGCCCTGTTCCAGGGGACAGCGACCCCACAAAACCCACTGCAGGCAAGAGAGAAACTTGGCGCACAGGATGAGGACCACTCTCCAGGCATGGGAGCCGTGAGTTGCAGGGAAAAGAGGATTCCCACAGGGGAGGGGGAGTCCCCCCATGGTTAGTTAAGGGCTCCTGAAAGTGGAGGTCCCACTGGGAGGGTCCCCCTAAATTTCCAGCTTCTTTATAGTGCTTGGGAAAAGCCCAAGGGCATTGAGGTTTCCCCTCAGGATTTAGTTTATCTTTGGGGTTTATCTGTTTCACATCAGATACTTACCTGTATCTGGAGCACTGGTATAAGGTTTTATGGTATTTACCCATATATATATATATATTGTACATATGTTTACATCCATGTCCCCTTCCCTTGTGATACGTTAATGTAAATAAATGTGTATATAGTTAAGTTCCCTGACTGTCCTGGCCTGGTTCTATAGGGACGGAGGGAAACTGAGCGGTCTGCCGTTTCCACCCCACAGCACACCTGCCAGCTAACAATTCCCTTCAACTGGAGAAGGGGAGTATATACCCAAGTTACCTGGGCTACATATGTTTAAAAAAAATCCCAATTCTGGAGCTCACCAGCATATCAGTACAGCTCCTGTCAGGGATCTGGCCAGATTCCCTGCTTACACAGGGGTCCAGAGCCTAGGAAGCGAGTGCTACTGGTGTCCTTCCTTTCCCTTCTCCCCCTCTGTAAATTCAGCAGCAAGAGAAAAGTGGGGATGAGTGGCCGTGCTCAGCCCCTGCTGTCATGCAGCTCTGGAGCCCAGGGGCTGAGTGCTGTTGCTTCTCCCCTCTTTTCCCCCTGCCTTTGAATTCAGGAGGGGATTGTAGGGAAGGGTAAACAGCAACGGTGCTTGCCCCTTGGCCTCTGGAGCTGCATGAAAGCAGTAGCCTTGGCCAGGCTCTGTGAGATCAGAGAGCTGGAGCTGCACTGACATACTGGTGAGCTCAGAAAACTCTGTGCTTATACTGCGCAGCCAATTGGAGTGGTGACCATGCCACCAAATCCCCCTGGTTCCACCTCTACCAGTAGCCAGGAAATAGGTCTTGCATTGGATTCATAGGCCTTTATCCCTTTTTTCTCTAAAAAGCAGAAGAAAGAGTTTCTGAGATTGAACAGCACAGGCAGGCAATAAAAAGAAGGGCTTAAACCTCAATTCTATGTTCAGTGGCTGTGTCCAGAGCTTCCTTCTCGTGAGCCTTTTTTCCTCCATTAAGTGTAAAGTTATTTTGTTAGCAGTGAGCAGCACAGGTGATTCATTTTAAAGTATTTATAAATGACCCAGGCTGCTGCGGGTGCCCTCTGCACTGAGTGTAGGAACTGAACCTGGCTGGTTACTGGCCCCTATCTGAAGCCCAAGAATGTAAAATAAATAAATGCACTGAAATATTAGAATCTTAAGAAGGTACCTGACCTGGGCATTGATTCACCAGACTGCTATTTTGAAATATGAGAATAAAAAAGTGTGATCATCCTTGAGGCCAAACATCTAACACTATTCTCTAGAATCTGTATTTATAAATATTTTATCCAAAACATCTGCTGTTAGTTGATGAGCAGTTTAACTAACATTATTCTCATTTAGAAAGGTCCTAAACTACAGTGCTTTGATACTATAAGCAAAGTAACAAAAGAGTTAATTAAAAAAAAATATTGCTGCTTTGAAATATTTAATCTCTTTGGGCACATCCACCTATCCAGGCACGTGTGCTTGCAGCAGCTCAAATAGGAGTGGCAGAAATTTGAGCTGGGGATTTTTGCCTTAGCACACATGCCCAGACATGTGCTTTGGTCTGGGGCAAGTTATGCCACTTGGGGCAAAATAACCTTGCCGAGCTCCTCCTGGAACTGCAGCCAGGGGGAGCTACAGCTTGGGACCAGCCCCTGTGCTGGCCCCAGCAGTATAAAAAGTTGTCCTGGCAAGTACCTGAGAGCTATTCGCTCTCAGGAGCTTCTGGGGCCCAGCCAATTGGCATCTGGGGACACTACTCCTTGTGCCAGCTGGACTGCTGAAGCAGCCCTAAATGAGAGTTCCCTGCACCCTCTACCCACTGCAAGAGTCTGGCAGTGGGGGCTGCTGCCTGGCTGTGACCTGCTGCCACCTGTGACAGCATGGGGCCCCAAGAGTGTGCACCTGCCAGACCTGGATGGGGACTGCACTCCACTGCAGAGGCATCTTCACCTCTGGGCCAGCTTCCAGTGTGCTGTGGCTGCACAGTTGGCCTTTGTGCGGCACTGCTGCCATGTGTACCCCATGCCTGGCCATCTGGGCAGCTATCACCTGAAAGATGTTCTTAGTGTCATGGCCTGCTTTGAACTGTCAAAGCATATCCTCCTGGGCCCAAGTAGCCAGGAGATCAACCACTTTCAGCTTGGTTCTGTGTGCCAACCCTGAGCAGGCTCCTCTGCCTGGGTCCTGCCACATACCTCACTTACAGGAATTCTGGCATTCCTTACTGAAAAACTGCAAAGTCTCTGATAAAAGCCCAAATTCACTCTTTAAAATACTCCAAAATCTATGTTCTTCCACAATTAAAATAAAAGACTACTCTCTCTCTCTCATTTTATATATATATATATATAGTGAGAGAGAGAGAGATCAGTTGGGCAATGTTTTATTGATATATTTACCCTTTTCTAAGCAGTTGGGAAGCCTACTAGTATCTCTACCATCATAATAAAATAAATTCTAAATATCTGTATGTTTGGATGTTTGCTCTGGGTTTTCTTATCCTAGAACAATTGGAACTCCCCCTGACTCCTTCACTATCTAGGATGTGGGGACAGTTACCCCTGCAGCCACAGCTCCTGCCAGCAAGTCTCAATCTGTTTGGCATCTGGCCACACTGGGTGTGTGATGGGGGGATGTGGGGTTTGCAGGAAGGGGGGGTGTAAAAGGGTGTGGGGGAATGTGGGTGGAACCTGGGGTATGTGGGTAGGTATAGGTGGATTGTGGGGGAACTGTGGGTATGGGGGGACTGGGTTGGGGGGAGCTGCTCAGGAGGGGTGCGTTGCCTGTGCCTCCACAGGGTGCAGCCCCCCCTGCACAGAACATGAACTGCCTCCCCACAGGGCCCACATGCCCCTCTGCAGGGCCTATGCCCCACCACACAGCCCACAGTCCCTGCCCTGCAGCAGCAGCAGCAATTGGGGCCTTTCCTGGCATAGCCCCCCAGCGGCGTGGGGCAGTGTGCCTCAACCCCAGCCACCTGGCACCGTCTGTGCCACATCACATAGACCAGCTCAGATTGGCATGGGTCTGTGCACCTTCAGACATCTCCGGGCCACTTGGGCTGTCACCCAGGGTCCTGCACTATTCACAGGGACCATGTACTGTGCCGGGCTGGGTCCTGCATGCACGGGCTCTGTGTGCAGTTCCATGCACACAGGACTCAGCCCGGCATGACACGCAGTCCCCACAAGTGGCACAGGGCTCCAGGTGACAGCTGGAGTGGCCTGAAGGCACATGGCCCTGCGCCAAGCTAGGCCAGGCCCGCCTGATTTGACACAGGCAGCGCTGGGTGCCAGGCAGCCAGGGCTGGGGCCAAGCTGCATTGCCCTGCGCTGCAGGGGTGCTTTGCCAGGAGGGCCCCCGAGCTCCCCAATGGGCTGCTGCTGCAGGGGGTGGGGGGTGCTGTGGGCTTTACAGGGGCAAGTGGGGGAAACCACCCCTCCCGAGCAGCTCGCCCTGCACCCACAGTCCCCCGCACCCCTACAGCCTCCCCCCTGCTCCAGGGCCCCCACCCCCAGTCCCTTACTTAGCTCGGACAGAGCCGGGGTCCATGCAGCCTGCACCACTCCAGGCTACCCTGCATGTGGAGGCAGCGTGCTTCAGCACTGGGACAAGGGGAAGCCATAGAGATGCTCTGGCCAGCTTCCAGAGCATCTTTTTGGAGGTCCCAAGCCCCTAGTTGCCTCAGGCCATGGTCCTAGACTGTGTGCCCTGCCCTGCTTTTTTATGGAGTTGTTTTTGGGGTTTTTTTGATACCTGGATGTCCAGGTTTTTTTGTTCCCAGTGTGCGTCATGCCACCTCTCAAACTGCTTTGGAAAGAAAATAGTATTTTTGTTTACGATGTAAGAAGGGTAAGATTTAGATATGCCCTTAACTATTTCTTGCCTTAAAAATAAGGCATAGTAAGAATTTTAAGTGATTGGTTTTGTTATAAATAAGTCTAGTTGTCACAATAACCTTAGCTGTGTTTAAAACATTTTTAAGTTCCTCTTTAATTGAGCTATATCTGAAGCTTTTTGAAAAAATACATACCACCATCCAAAAGCAAACTTTTCCATGTGAGCCATCCAGCGAGTTTATGCTGCTTATATCATAGCCTTACTTTGAAGCCCAGCAGGGAAGTTGCTTCTGAAGAAACAATCTAGTTACTGACTATGTTTTGTTTCACTTTCTTGCAAACCTGCAGTAGCCAGAGTAGAAGGATAATCATTTCAAACACTGTAGAGCCTTAGAATAGTAGAAACCTCAGTATTCTGATTAGCCTATGCAAACTAAAGTTTAATTTAGTGAGGACTCTTTGCAAGTTGCTTTTATATTGAAACTGTCACAGTATATCAGTCAACAGAATAAATGAAGAAATTATGCTCTAAGCAAACAGTGCTGTTACCCTAAGGAATCAAAGGACTGCACTGCTGCTCTGCAGTCTTAAACCTAGCATGATAACAATAAAATTAACAGAACCTTGATCACATAAAAAGCAAACCAAAAAGCCCTTATTATGTGCTGGACTTGCAGTATTTAGCTACAGTCTTGAGTGGCATGTAGATATTTCACAGTTCTTCCAAGGACACTTTACTCATCAGTGTTTTATTTAAAAAAGAGATAAAGATGGGGAGAAGAGGCCACAGTAGCATAAATTGAGTGAGATCCTTAACAAGATTCATCCCTTCAAGAAACTGAAAGTCATAATCTCTCACTGACTTCATATGGAGTTGTAGCACCTCACAGGATTGGCCCAAGAATTAGAAGCTAAATATTGCATTTAAATGTATCCCCAGCCTCAGTCATTTTCCTCCAGCCTCAGTCGGTGATCATTCCAATTAAATAATATGAGAGCAGTTTTAGAATGTATACCAAATGCATCTGTTTATGCTCAGGCTGTGATCTGTATAGTTTTCTCTAGGGATTTTCTATATATTTTCTGTATGTTCTTTCTGTGTATTTACAATAAAGTATTTAAAAAATAATAAACATTTTCTAATGTGTACAAGATGGCCAATTGTTCATCTCTGTTTTCAGCCAGTCATTGGATATGGAAGATGACAGGCGGCTGAATTTGCTCGATGATGGAACCCTCATGATCCAAAACACCAGAGAATCAGACCAAGGTGTATATCAGTGCATGGCCAAGAACGTGGCCGGAGAAGCCAAGACGCACAGTGCTTTCCTCAGATACTCCAGCATTCCAAGTAAAGTCTTTCTGCTTGTTTGTGTTAGGGGTCAGCATGGAAGCATGCCTTTCATTTACTTGAATATAAATATATTACATAATCACATTCCACAAATATTTTAAAATTGTCTGTTTGCAATTTAGTAATTATTATTCAAAGTTTGTATAATTTCCTTCTTATTTATTTGTATTCCAATATCTAGGCCCCTATTTATTTTGGATTGTTCAAGCTTAAAAAATAAATGGTAATCCCTTCCTGGGAGAACTCAACATGTAGTGTTTAAGAGGTGGGAGAAAAGGTTAGTGTTTACCTTTTCTGAGGTAAGCAGAGAAATGAAGACATATTTTACCTTAGGTAGCACACATGTCAGCCTGTAAGGTGCCTTGACATAGCTGATGCCATTTTTTTTTAACTAACACCATGAGCTATAAGCAAAATGAGCAGAGGCAGATCTGGAACTTGAACCTTGAGTCTTTTTCTGAGTTTTAAGGCAGGTTCTTAAGCAGAAGATGATCCTTCTTCAGGTGTTTGACCTTTTGGCCCTGAGAACCAAATGAATGGCATGGGGCCCAGTTTGCAGGCCAGATCAGGCCCCATGTGCCAGGATGGAACTCTACACTGCCATTGCCTGGCCCCCACACACCTGGATTGGGCCCTGCATGGCCTTGGCTGGGCCCTGCACACCAGGCCCCTGCACCACTCCCATGGGGCCCTGCATACTACGATCTGACCCTGTGGCTCTACACTATCTCCATAGGCCAGGACGTGCCCCACTACTACCTACACCCAGCCTCTCATGCCAGGATTGGGCTCTGGGATTCTTCATACCAGGGTTGGGCCCCACACCAACATGCATGGTTCAGTCTAATGCTCAGGGGCACTCTATCCAACTTGCAGGGCTCCCCACAGGTTTGCAAATTCCACAGCAGGAAAGCGGTGCCACCATTCCCCTTCTACCAAATTTTTGCACCCATGGGGATACCCATAGGCTAGCTGACACAGTGCCAGGGGCCAGATCTCATCTGCAAGGCAGGGTTAGCCACTTGAATTAGATGGTGGCATTCCAGTAATGTTTATACAGATGGCAATTAACACTGTTTTCCATATCATTGTTTTGTTTTTTGTTTCCCCTACCCCCCACCAGCCAAGCCCAGTTTTATAATTCAGCCCCAGAACACAGAAGTCTTAGTTGGTACCAGCACCACTTTGGAATGCATGGCCATAGGCCATCCTCAACCTCGTATCAGCTGGTTCAGAGAAAATGGAGACTCATTGGATGAATCCAGGTACATAGTCACTTCTGGAGGAGGACTTTTCATACAGAATGTGACACTGCAAGACCACGGTCAGTTTATCTGCCATGCTAGTAATAATCAGGACTCTATTCAAGCATCAGCAAAGATTATTGTCCAAGGTAAGTAGAACAAGACAGGGCTGATAAGAATTACATGGGCAAGCTTGAGATATAGTTTTCATATTGTCTTTGTTAAAATACCTGGTTTGATCTAAAAATGCAGGCTTTAGTGTTGTTTTGCAGTGTGTTGTTTAGGACTGTGGTCAAATTCTGCCTTGGATATGTATGAACCTAAAACTTATTAATTTCAGTAGTAGTTGTGTATATATATCTAAGGACAGAATTTAACATTTAGGAGTTAATTAATTAAAATTATATATTAATATTTCAAGTACTCAAATTTTATTAATGACACTGGACTGAATTCATCACTGGTATACCAAAACTCCATGGACTTCAGTAGAGTTCCACAAGGGATGAATGATACCCATTGTTATTCATTTATTTATATAAAGGGATATTTAAGCAGGGTGCATAAGCTGGGAAGGTCCACATTGTACAAAACAGCTGGGCTTAAACTAGCCCAAGTTTTGTAAGACATCAGTTAGTTTTCCTTCTGATAGGGCATCCATCATTATATTTGAGTTAACTTTGGTCAAACTAGAGGGTTGGCTGTAATACTTTACAGCTCAATAAGCAGTGGGATGAACAATTTTGTAGTGCTTTAAATAAGTAGTTGTATGACCCACCAGTTTTGAATATAAGAAGCAAAAACATTCTTTCTCTAATATGTAAGGAATATAGCTTGATTGAGATTTTTTTTTTGTTTTCTTCCTCAAAGCTATGCATGTGATCAGGTATGTGTTGTAAATGTGGGCATATCTGAAGGAATTGCTAAGGGTAAGCTAAATCAAATAAATTTGCTTTGCATCTGTTTCTGAGAGTGATTACTTCTGTGGTGATTCAGTGTTCCCATTCAGCACTTTCACAAATAATCTGCAAATGGAAAAAAAAAAGATAAATTATTCAATATGAATTTGTACCCTTCTCTATTCCAGACCGTAGGCATGCTCTGTTGTAGCCTTCTGTAGTTCTCTTTATTAGATAATCAGATATCAAGGAGATAAGCATAATATAAAGAGATGGATTGTTCCAAGATATTTCCTGCAGTCAGGAACCCTCCTTCCCCTTCTCCCCACCCCATGCTCAGCAGCTCTGTCTCAGTCAGTAGCAAAATAAAGATGTCCTAGGAAGTCATTGTCACAGAGGGAGATGCAGTGCCTCGGGTGTTCTTTTTAGAGCTCTGATGGTCTGTCTGTAGACTTTGAATTATGCTCTGTATTCACTGGGAAGTCAGTGCAGAGTGCCGAGCATTGGTGCAATATGTTTTTGGTAACCTGTTTCTAAACTTTCTATTTAGGTGGTCAAAAATTGACGTTTTTTCTTCTTAGAGTTTCAATGAGCAATTTAATTGAGCAACCTTTCTCCTTATATTATGCTCATCTCCTCGGTATCTGAGTATCTAATAAAAAGACCTACACAAAGCTACAACAGAGAATGCCCATACATAGTCTGCAGTAGAGAAGGGTACAAATTCCAATTGATTAATTTATCTTTTTTCTTATTTGCAAATTATTTGTGAGCGTATTATTTTTTCAGTCATTTTTTACTGTATGTAATAGTTGAATCATTTCCTCCAAACAGTGGCCCATGCAGATAGTTAACAAAATATCTGAGTGTTTGTTGTTTTGTAATTTGTTGTTCATGCTGTATGATTGGGTATTATGTTAATAGAAGTTCTCAGCATTGGTCTAATTTTGCTTATGTTGATGCCAGTAAAATTTGATTTAGGTTAACAGGAAAGGTTTGAAAATCTCACTCAGTATGGTTTCTGCATTTTGCTGGATGAAGTAAATAGAATGATTACTGATACAGTTATTGTGGCTAAGATTTTCTCAGTCACTGGGAAGCACTGGAGAGTGTAGTGATCATTGGCTTCAGTAAACATAGGCATACGTGAATGAGAAGAACTAAAAAGCAATCAGGGCTCATGGTAGAGGTGATAACTTTTATTAAACCAATAACATTTTTCCAAAAAAAATTCTGTAATTGCAAGCTTTTGGACACAAACACCCTTCTTTCAGGGGAAAATCTTTTCTCTGATGCCTGATGAAGGGTGTGTGCCTGAAAGCTTGCTATTTAAAGATTATTTTTTTGCAAAAATCTGGTTGGTCTAATAAAAGATCTCACCTTTACCATGAGCCCGTATTGCTTTTTCCTCTAGACCAATATGGGTACAATCTGGATACCTAAGAACTAAAAATGAACTTTTAATGTAAAGCAGTAGGCAACCTCTGCAGGCCCTTTGTCTCTCTCTGTCTCTCTCTCTTGAGAAACAAAACAAAAAGTGCATGAAGACATTAAAAGAGGCTCAGGTTTTAGGCCTGCTGTATTCTTTTCCTGCCTCTGTTGGGTATGTTTATGGAATCCAGATTTAAAATAGCTAACTCACTTCAGTGTTGAGATACTGAGAGGGAGAAGCCAGACTTATTGGCTGCTTAGGCATCTTTACATTGAGCATTTACTGGTCCTAGTCCCACTAAATAATTATATGCACGTGAAGGCTGCAGGCAGATTGTTGGGGTTGTCTCATTTTATGGCTGTTGCTAGGGCATTCCCTCATCAAATACATGAAACGTGTACTTTACAGGTACATCTATCTGGTAAAACCACCAGGCTCTAGGTTACATCCTTGTTATTCAGTTACTGCTTACCACTGTCATTAATTATATGTGCAAGCACATTTTGTTTGCAAAAGGTGAGCTCACCTCTCTTCGTCTTCTCAGTTTGTTTGATTGCCACTCCCGTTCCACCGTTTTTTTCGGAAACTTCCCTATGGCCTGTCTTGCATGCACTGCTATTTTGTATATCCATCAAGTCATTTATTAATTATTTTTAATATGCTCACCAAGGGGCTCAATGAGCTTTCTGCCTTTGTAGCAGTGGCATGTCACAGCTTATGTGCATTTGTCTGGAAGGTGACATCCTACGTGATTCAGAAGCTGAGGTTCCAAGAAAGCTGCTTGATTTCTTTACCAGTTGGTCTCAATCCAGGTACTGGGAGAGATGACTAGGTTCTTTCCATCAGCTTCATCTACATGCATATTACTTTCCTTCTTTCCACCCACATGATTCCTGCATACTTTCAAGTGTTTTAATCTCTTTCATTTCCCTTGTGAAAACATTCATTGTACAACATGGTACATGATTTGTAGTATGTCAAATTAAATACCTCAGCATTACTTCTTCTTTCAGAGCTGTTTAATTATTGCTACTGATTTTAAAAATGCTTACCAGAAGTTAGCTTGTGGTTTCAATGTTAATCACTAAGTTATTTCAAAGAGATCTCAATGACTCTTTATATTTTCTAGGCTTCAAGAGAAACCAAGAAGTCTCTTAGTGTCTCAAAAAGCTCACAAATATAGTTTAAAATTGAAACTCGGAGCTTTAGACAGTTTGAACATACCAGCTACATAAAAAATATCCTTTAATTTGAAAACATTAAAAAAGGATTGTTTTAGTTGGTGTAATCAGATGTATATCTCTATATACCCAAGGGGTTATGATTTTAGCAAAGTTGTTAGATGCTCTTTTCTTTGTTAGTGTCTTTTTATCATGATATCTTTATTCATTAGTTACCTATATTTAAATAATTGAACTTTCAAAAAATCTCTATGCTTATGGCTATAATTATAATACATATAGGACCATAAAGTAAAATTAACTTATTGAATTGGTTTGAAAACAATGAGATTGTGAAAAGCAGAAGGCAAATGGGATTAGGTCTTCCATGTTCAGGACCTGTTGGCATAGATTTAGCAGAGATTTATTTGGAGGTATTGTGGATAACATCTCTGTGCTTGCACAGTAAAGACTGAACTTGTTTAATATTATAACATGCTTTTGATGTTAAAAGTAGGAAAAATGATTATATATGCTCAGGACATGAACTCAGGAGGCACTGTCAATAAAAGGAGAATTGAGATGTCATGTGGGAAGAGCTGAGCGACCTTGAAGTCTGGAATAATCAAACTGGAATTAAATTCATTAGTAAAAAGTCATGTACTTCGCACCCAATATAAAATATATTTTTGCCATTAAATGAGAGCTCCTGAGCTGAGATTAGCAAGGAGAAGACGGACCAATCAGTTGCCAATGTCGTACAGTTGTAAAAAAGGCAAATTTGAACCTAGGATGTACCAGAAGATAGATTTCCAATAGAGGAAACATAATGCCATTGCACAAAACTTAGTGAGATCACATCTGGACAAATGCACACAATTCTGTTTGCTTCTGTTCACAAGAACATCCTGGAACACCTGCAGAGAAGGGTGTCTAAGGATAATTAGGGGAATGGCCATATTTGTACCACTTCCCTGACTGCTGTGAAAGAAGCCACACTCACTCACTCCTGCATTGTATATGCCTGGGCCTGGCAGTTAGGTAGAATATATGCTTTACAGTGGTGCTGAGTGTATCTGGGCTACCCTAGGAGTGGTCTTGTACATAGTAGGAACAAGTGAATAGACTTGTTATCTGAACAGTTGCATCTAACACAAGATCTGGGTGAGACAGAGAGAGAGAGACAAGATTTGCATTCTAAACGTGTTTATTAAGAGATAACACAGTACCTTAGGAAGCAATGAGTTAGTTACCTTATTAAGCAGGTGCTCTCTCCCAAGAGTGTTGATCAGACAGCCCTTAGGATCTGTGGGACAGCATGTCACTTCAGCAGACTTGAAAGCATGACTGATTACACTCTTTACATATTGCCTTTTTTTAGCTTTAACATTTAATCCAATGTATAAGCATGGTTTATGACAATTTTCTTTTTTTTTTTTTGGCTTAAAACCCTACCTTTACGTACCCCCACTCATGCTTCACTTATGCCCATGCACATTAATATTCTATTACATCTTTTCTGCTTGACAGCAGGGTTAAAAACTTCATCTTAGGCTTAGCTGTTACAAATTTTACTAATTTTGTGCCATGCCTGCTTGTACAACTTGTTGGTAAGTTCAGCTGTTGCTCCTGTGTTTAAGAATAAGGAAGAATTTAAC